ATAACTACGCCTATATTGCGTACAGCGCCCATAAACTATGGCACCCCCCCCCCCCCCCCCCCAAATCAAGTTGAACTGCCCCAGCCCCAGTAAACACCAGAGGTTTATGTGAAATTGTTCTTATTTTGAAATAATGGTTTTAGTGTGCAATTATAGGTTTTAATTTTGTATTTGTGGTCATTTAAAATAAATCAAACTCCCAAAAAACGTATACAGCTTCTGTGTGCTTTTATTAACATTGGAATTTACTGTGTAAGCGGCCGCGGGGGGGGGGAGAGCTTTAGAGAGCTCTCTCCTGAAAGACTGAGAGGCTCTGATAACCTCAGCTCAGTGAGGTAAAGGCACACCTTTACAGTATATGATCATTATAGTTATAAAAAAATAAGAGAATAGATGAAAAACAGGTATAAAATACTATATGACAGTACAAAAAAGTTGCAATTAATAAACAATAATAGAGTTTGAAAGGGGAGTGATTTGTAAAATATCGATAAAGAAAAAGTAAATCTGTTTACAGTTCTGTTTCATATGGGTGTTGAGAGATGTATCCATAGATCTCCTAATGTTGCTCTCAAAGTGCACCAGATGCTTTTAACTTCAATATTAAAAAAATAATAATCTTCCCGGGGGAGCATGCCCCCGGACCCCCCTAGAGGAGGTGAGGACCCCCCCACTTAAATCATGTTCAAATGGATAGGATACTAAATACAGTTGCACACATGCATGTGCGAGTCATAGTGAGTGTCTGCATTTTCGGGGGGGGCGCCAGCTAAAATCTTGCCTAGGGCAGCAAATTGGTCAGGGCCGGCCCTGACTCCACCGCTCTCATGTTTTATTGTGTGTTGCTATAAGTTAGTCTCTCTCCGTTGGTGCGCGGGGCTAATGCTAATGCGAGCAAATACAATGGCGGCTTCAAAAAACTTTTCTGAGTTTTACGGGGCGTGGTTTGCAATTCGCCCAGCCAATCAGAAATTGGTACTTTTTTCTCCCCAGGAAAGTACCACCTCTCTAGCAGGCACTAAAAATGGGGGTAAAAGTTCTCAAGAACTAAGTTCTCTTTTTGGTGTGAACGCAAAATTCCAGGCACTATCGGAACTAAACGGGAAAAGTACTCCGGTGTGAACGCGCCTCTTGTGTTCGGAGGGGTTTCTGTGGGCTTTGACTTGATGCTGAACTCAAAACGTTGAACACTTTCTTTGTCTCTAATGTCCTGCATTAAATGTGCCATCTCATTGAATTGGAAACATCTATAAGAAAGTAACTTGAACATTAGAATCACTTATTTTCAATTGTATATATTTTGTGCATGCCCTTTATGTTTTGTCTCTATCTTCACTTTTGCTGCAACAAAGTAAACTAAAGCTGCAGCAGGATGTGTTCACTTTACAGCAGGTTTAAAGTGACGCTTTTAATAATTACAATGAACTTGGGATGTGGCTCCACAATGCAGCCGGCCCCTGGTGCCCCTGGTGCCCCTGGTGCCCCTGGTGCAGCTCGGTGCCCGGGTTCCCATGCAGCCTGTAGGGAATAAGAGAGAATGAGGAGGGGGGGGGGGTCCCCCAGTCTATTGTGCCAGTCCTTCAGCCCATTAGCGCCTCCAACAAACACTTTCCCAAGAGCAGCTCTGTGCACGATTCAGAGGTTCAAAGGCGTTATTGTCACATGCACAGTAGCTACAGTTTTGGCAATGAAACTTCATTTTACTGGTTCAAAGCTAAAGGAATGAGAAACTGCAGGGAAGGGGAGAGGCTGCACTGAGACGCTGACTTTAATTCAAAGTATTATGTTCACAGATTTCACATAACTGTATTAGGTTAGATGAAAGCAGTGGTATTAAGGTTACTTATATTGAATACAAATGACAATGTGAAGTCCCAGGCTCCTCCAACAATGATACATACATATAGATATATAAGGCATACAACTATTTAAATAGTGCAAAAAGAAACAACGTAGGAATAAAGTATTATGTTGCAAGACAAATGCAGATGAACTAAATACATGTCAGAATCAAATCCAATAAGCTAAATGTTGTGACCAAGTGCAGAGTCTATATACATGTGAGTATAATAAGATAAGCAAGAACAGGATGTACATTTAAATACTGAACAGTGGAATAAAATACTCTTTACTGTAGTGATAAATAAATGCATGGTGAGATGTGTCAGAGGAACAGTAGCTGTGTTTAGAGTCTGATCTCAGAAAGTGGGGGGACAGAGACACAGAAACAGAGAGGCTGACTAAGTTGTCTCTTTGGCAGTCGCGCCTCCTATTGAAGCAGTAATTTATTCAAAGGAGATTTTTATCCGTGCGATCTGATTATTATGATAATCGAGCGACCCAGACCCCCTTTCTTGGCTCTTGTCTGCGGACCCGGTGACAGTAAAAGCTGATTTGCACGGTCTTCACCCCCCCCCTCCCCTTGCTCACATTCCTGGACTCCTGTGTATCAAAGCACAACGACAGGAGGCCGGAGCAAACCAGATTACACCAAACTCATTTTAAACCCTAACGCTGTCCTGAAACTGTATTATACACTACAAAAACTCAAAATCTGGCCAAGTATAATTGTCTAATTTCTAGTCAGAATATGTTTTTTACACTTGGAGCTACTAACTTAGGAAGTAACGATGCAGTGAGATATGGGGTCAGAAGTATCTTGTTTCGTCAAAGACTCTTGAAAACACCTTATTTTGAGTTGTATCTAAGACATTTTTAAACATCAGAAAGCAGAAAACTATTGAGCATTTCCTGATCCTGGTCGTTCAAAATAAGTTCTCCCAGCTAGAACAAGATCTGATTCGTCTAAATATCCCGTCTTATTTCAAGAAATCTTACCAATCAAATGTTCACTTGTTCTATTGGCAGATGTTCTATTCATCACAAGCGAGAACACCTTGTTTTCATTATTTGTTTACTAGTTTTTGGAGCAGCTTTCTTTCCAGTGTACCCTAACCCTTAGTAACAGATCTTTACTGAACTATGGGCAATAATACTTTCACTACTGTTACTGTATATACCACACTGTATCTAATAAGTACTGCTGCTACTACTTATCCACCTGAATGTGACCGTCTGTTCTTGAACTATTTCTATTTCTATGTGTATTTACTTGCACTATGTTATCAGTTTTATTTGTTCTATGTCCTATATGTTGCACTGTTGGAGGAGCCTGGGACTTCAGTGTTTCATTTCCATATCTACCCTGTAGCTAATGTGCACATGGCAATAAAAGCCTTGAATCTTGAATCTGTAAATTGTTAAACTTTCTATTTGATGTGCATTACTTTTATATAACAGTGTTGTAGTTTCTTCGTCTCTATCCATACTTTGACGAACATTTTCCTTTGTGGGACAAATAAAGGAATTGTGATTCTGTCCTGCTGAGATGTTTTAATATTTGTACTGAAGACACGTGGCACATAAAATACATGTGTGTACATCAATGGGAACCAGAGATACAGAAGAGGAACAACTAGTGCTCGTGTTAGTCTTATTGTAAATCAATTGAAAAGCCATTCTTCCCCAAGTCCCAGTTCCAGTTTGTTCTTCTCTTGAAGCGTAGAAACAAACCAGTTAACCAACATGTAGGAGAGTAATAACAAATACATATTTCACTTTACTTGCACATTAGTCATGCAACATCCTCTTGCACGTTTTTATAGATTTGTATTTGTTATTATAGACAGTATTATGTTGCATTGTTGGAGGTGACGTACGTTTTTCATTACATATCTACTGTAGCTGTGTATATGACTATAAAGCCTTTGAACTTGAAACTACACTTGCTGATTGAAAGTCTAGAAGTTACTGTACTTAAGTACAATTATGAGGTACCTGTACTTTACTTGAGTATTTCCAATATGAAGCTACTGTGTACTTCTACTCCACTGCAGTTCAGAGGTACATGATGTACTTGTACTCCACTACATGTATTTAATACCTTGAGTTACTTCACAGATGTGGATGAATGATGTGAAATATAATCAAGTGTTAAATCAGACTTTAGTTCCACCTGGAGTAAATCCACAAGCTACCCTGCAGTATACAAAGTCATTCAAACTAGCTGCACCTTTACCAGCTTTGAGAACACTTTCATGATCAATCATTATAAAACATATCATATATATTATTCTGAAATGGACCAATCTGCACAATGACTACTTTTACTGTCGCTACTTTCACTATATTTTGATGATAATACTTTTCTACTTTCACTTGAGGAACATTTTGAATGCAGGACTTTTACTGTAACAGAGTATTCCTACACTCTGGTACTTCTACTTTTACTCAAGTACAAGATCTGAGTACTTCTACTTTTACTCAAGTACAAGATCTGAGTACTTCTACTTTTACTCAAGTCCAAGATCTGAGTACTTCTACTTTTACTCAAGTACAAGACCTGAGTATTTATACTTTTACTCAAGTACAAGGTCTGAGTACTTCTACTTTTACTCAAGTACAAGATCTGAGTACTTCTTCCCTCTGGCTATGTGAATCAGTTTTGTCTAAAATATAAAATCAAACCAAGAAACATGAATTTAGATAATGAGCTATGGACTTGTAGCTGCACCTTGATTGGTTTCTGATGTCTCTTTTGTTATTTGAAAAGGCAAACCAACATGCTTTGGTGTTTTAAAACAATATTGTAAAAGCACGAATCAGTGTTCTGCTCATCGATGTCTGCACACCGACATCAGCATGTCTAATATTCACTTTAAATATGCACGTTTCTTTAATTCAGACAATGAGTTTCTCTAATGAGCTGCCATGCTTTATTCACGACCTGCTTCTTCTTTCTTCTTTTTTTGAGGGTGGAGACAAATGGCAGACCTGCATCGTGTCATAAAGGGGAGGGTCTTGCTGGCAGTATATGTTTTTAGAGCAGCATGTTTTAAGTTCATATTGCATCTGACGCGAGCGATGGCAAGGCAGGGGGAGGAGGGAGAGTATGTAAGCGTGTGTGAGCGTGTGTGTGTGTGTGTGTAGTCCACCTCCGCGGGAAATAATGGGGAGGATAATGAAACAGGGGGGGAAACCCTGAATGGATGGAGCCACGGTGACGTCACGACCAGCCGCAGAAATGAAGCTGAGTTTCAGCCCCCCCTCCGGATCACTCGGTCTCCATCTCCCGAGCTGCACGCTTCTCCTGCCGGGGAGCAGAGCACAGACACACCGTGAGTATAGGCTACTAACTGTGGGGTTTCTGCAACAGAAAACGGGGGGAGAAAGAAAGGCAGGTGCGTAAAATCGGTTAAAAACACCGGAGGAAAACGCGCTTTCTCCTGCGTCTCCAGCCTGCACGTAGAGGAGCAGGATGTGTGTGTCGGTGTGTGTGTGGTTGTGTGTTGTTGGAGAATATGGGCGATGCGTGTTAGAGCAGCATGTTTTCTGCTTTAATTTAAAAATGTTTTCTGTCTGCGGAGTGTAAAGCAGGATGGGGGGGTCATCAGCTGCTGGGAGCGAATGCGAGCTGGATGTTGCACACCACTAAATATGCATATTTGGTATTTTATTCAATGTTTTATTTTCAAACTGCATGACAGGTTTGTATAGATGTAGAATAACTCTAAATGATGTGTTCTGAGCCTGCAGTGTGGGGTAGGGCCGGTGAAAGGTCTCAGATCAGTGTGAGAGGAAGGATGACATGCTTCAGGGGAGAGAAACTTGTAATTGCAGGTGTTTTGTCTCTGAGGGAGAACTCAGGGTTTCAGCCTAAATGACGCATTGTGCACAGGCTTCACATGCGCCATTCACAGGGAGCCACAGAGGCCAAGAGGCGCTCCCAGCCCTGATTTCATCTCTCTCACACACACACACACACCTCCAGGCACTATCAGGGTCACTTCTCCAGCTATTAGGCAACATATGGCACTAAAAAAGAACAACCCAACATGACACGATGAGGACAAAAACAGAAAAGCTTGTCATTATTTTTGTTTTTGGCTCCACATTAAGCCCTTAGCAGGACATGTGGCTCAGATATGAGGATTAGCAGCCGACAGCCCCGCGCTGCATGCGTAATAAAACAAAGTGGTGGCGTTCACACCCATAGCTGGCGGATAAAGGGATCACAAGGCCAAGTCTCCAGTCCACACGTGCGCACCGAGTATATGAGGCCTGTGTCCAGAACACGTGTGCAGAATGCGTGGAGCTTTCAGGAGGGGATTGGAGCAAGGAAACACACAAAAAAAGTGGGATTATGCAACGTTTCACATGATGAACAGGAGAGTATTAATGTGGGGTCAATGCACGAGGAGAGGCAGAGGAAAACGAAACGGTGCTTTGCTTTAAAAAAAAAAATCGTAATAGTGGAAATTCATATTTAAAATGTGAAGTTTGGTTTGACTATTTATTGTTTTTATTTGTATTTTATTTGTACACAGACGAGGCAGTAGTTGTGTGTGTGCAATTGCAGAATATCAGAGGGGTCATATTGCAAAAGCCACTGACCATGTTCAAACATGAAGATGGGATGTTGTGCAATATGTTGTTCTGCACAATTTTATGAGTAATTTGCACTTTGAATTTTCGGGATGCTGAAGCATTTCACGGAGGAGGTCTCCACCTTTTCACGCCGATCATCTCTCTGTTAAAAACACTTTATTTTTTGGGAGCAGATCTCAGTTCGCTGGTGTTTTTTCCGGTTTGAAATGAGCGCTGCAGAATGCAAAACGAGGCTCCAGAGTCCATCTGAAGAATAAAACGGTCGTCTCTTTTTTCCAGGGATCCCTGGAGAGACACTCAGCGGCCTCACAGCACGTGGCTCATAGGTAACACAGCTCCCTGTCACTCACATCACACACAGGCTTGCGTAGTTACTTTGGATATTTTGGGAAGTTTGAGGGAATAATATATTTTATATTTTAAGTATTGTTAATAAAAAAAGGAGGTGCAAAGATTTTCGTCAACCTAGTTATATGTATAGCTACTGTTTGTTTTAGGTTAGAATAATATTACATATGTCAAAACAGTTTCAAAAAGGCAACCTTGAGTCAAATGTTTAATATGATTTAAAAAAAAATACACACAGCCCACATAATGCCTTATACTATTATAATTGTTTTGATATATTTTGTTAAATTCTTCCACACTCAGGGATGTTCAGTAGCTGCAGTTTCATTACATACAAGACATGTGGAAAATGTATTCATATATTTCTACAAGTCGTTATTTCGAGCTCAAATTTGCGGCTGTGAATTGTGTGTGTGAGAGTGAGTGTGTGTGTGTGTTCATCAGACTCATGGTTACACCGTCAGCTCAGCGTGCCTCTTCCATTCTGGTCATTTAAGAAACCCATGTTTAAATATCGCATTGACGTGTGTGTAAAATGTGTTTATGTGGTGCGTAAAACTCGTGCGTAATTCCATATATTTCCTCCAAATTCAGCTTTCAACCTGAGAATTCCTTCTGTGTGATAAAATGGCGTGAAATGAAATGTGTAACCACGTGGTTTTAATCAGATGATAAGCATTGGGACGCTATAATAAGATATAATTTCCTGCTAATAAGCTCTGCACCGCCACCTTCGCATTAATTATTTCCAATTAGAGGCGCCGGATTTGGTGACGTCATGCACGCCATGGCCAATAGCACAGCCTAATGAGGATTGTTTGAATGTTGGCGAGGAAGAACCCGGAGCTGGAGAGATGCTTTACATTTACTTTGGGATTTGATCTGAGCTCAGGTTAAACAAAGCTGCTGTAGGTGTGACACTGTGACTGTGAGGGGTTTTGGTTTAAAGTTGAGCAAAAGAGAAACCCTTTAAAAATCTCTTAACGCTTCATTTCCTGAACACACAGCGTGAATAAATCCTCGGGTGAAATGCATCGTGAAAAACGAATATTATGGGGTCATAAACCCAGAAGACAAATACTGAAATGGTATCCATTTATAAGAAAGAAGCACAATCACGAATCTGCTAATGAAAGGAGTGTTGATGATAATCGGGGGAAAAGACAAAAGACAATCTGCATTGAATTATTTTTAACCAGCTTGGAAGTCATACAAATATATCTGACCTAAAAACGCTCACAGATTGAAAATCCTCCAGAAGTATTGCATCAGCCCACATCAAATCATATTGTGATAAATGAATGATGAGTATAAACACAAAGGTGAATCATTTGTTCTTAAATCGGTGAATAGTCAATAAAAAAATATTTTAAGATTTAAAAAAATAATTAATTTAATATAAAATTCTGTACAAATATATTTTAAAAACTAGGAAATGTAAGGGTAGTTTTAATTAAAAAAAGAGATATGTGTTCTCTTGTATTTTGCACATTAAAATAATAAGAGTATTTGCATGAGCTAGTCATTTACCGTTATGACTGCAGCTGTGTGTGTGTGACCATTTATTAGCCTGGTATTGTAATTGTACTGTAATTAAGTACCTAAACATGTGATTGTGTGTGTGTGTGTGTGTGTGTGTGTGTGTGTGTGTGTGTGTGTGTGTGTGTGTGTGTGTGTGTGTGTGTGTGTGTGTCATGCTGTTAGCTGAGGCATATCTCTGCTCTCAAAGGGCCTCACTTTGTCCTTGTGGATTGAAACAAAGCACCTTGTCGAACATCCGTGTTGGAGCGACAGCCTTCTGAACCGACAACAAAACACCTTTTTTAAAATACAATCTACATTAAATCAAAGAGTAGAAGAAGAAGGTGTTTACTGTAATCTGGAGGCAGAACAATGCCAGCGATGCTAACAGGGATGTAGCCGTCTCTGCTAACGCCTGCATGTCGGGGAGTGTGAGTGTTCGGGTTTGTGATGGAGGGCGAGGGGATTCTGACTCTCTTTTCTCTCTCTCAGTATCTCAGTAGAGCTTTACTTGATCTGGGCATACCAAGCAGCTTTAATTAGAGGAGGCCTTGTGCCATGTGCCACCATGGCGTGTGAGAGGTGTGTGTGTGTGTGTGTGTGTGCGTGTGCGTGTGCGTGTGCGTGTGTGTATTCGAATTACATCTCTGTTAGAGTACACGGGAGGTGTGTATGTACATCTTTGGCGCCCGACCTGGAGCGCCGGTGGACAGCTTTGGCATCAGATAATGTAAATGAAAACAAACCAGTTCCTTTTGTAGTGAGACGTAGGATCTTTTAATTTGAAAATGCATTTGGGTCGTGGCGGGAGGCGGTGTTTGAAGCCATCACCCTCCTACCGAGTCATCAGCGGGTGAGGCGGATGCACCGTGGGGATGGAGGATGGAGGAGGGAGGGTTGGGCGCCAAAGCCAGTTTGGACCGGATTGACGACTTGTGTACAGTTTTTATTGGTGCCTTTGACTTGATTGTTTGACTTTGGGGATTTTTTTATATAGAGAGGCATTACTCGCGGACCAATCACAGCTCTCTGTGCACAAAGGGAGCATTCCAGTTGGCCGAGGCAGTTGGAGGCGGGGCATAAGGGGCCATTTAGTGACGTCACAAAACGAAGGGTCAGGACATTTACGGGCCGCCGTAATATAAGGGAGGAAAAAAAGGCCCGAGCCACAAGAGCAACGTCTTTGTTCGGAGTTGGCATGCGCAGCTTTTATTGGATTTCCAGACCATTTTTTCATGTATTTATTTTTGAAACCTTTCAAAGTTAGTCTTTAATCATTCAAATGATGTACAATCTAAAGGATGGAGACCTATAATTGTGTTTTTATCCTTACAGGTCAAAGCTTGGACCATGTGGCTTCGCCTGCAGCGTGAGAGGATGGGTAGCCTTAGGGGTTGGTTGTTATCTTTGGTTATCTAGCTGTATGAGTGATGTACATTCTTCATAAAGCTAGATAACCGAAAGTAACAAGAATCCCATTACACTCCTGAAAAGGCATCAAGACCCCAAAACGCGGCACCATACAAAAAAAAGCACAAACTCTACAAGCAACATGAGAGCAGAACATGGACAACGTTTAAAAGGAGATGGGAGTTGACAGCAGCCAAAGGTAGGCCTTTAGATGAACCAAACTGTACTGCAAGTCTGTCTGTATATTGTATTTCGATCCATCAAAAGCATGTGTTCGATTGGTAGGCATGTGGAAATGATTAGGACATTGTGGTACATTCTCCGTACAGATCCCTGCAGCCAGTGATCCATAGCTGTACCGTTGGTGCAACAGGATCACTTTTAATCTAATAAGCCCCATGATCCCTGCGTGTGGCTGCATGCAGGAGCTTAGTCATAGAATCACATGGCCGGGAGTGACGGGCTTGTTGAAAAAGACCCACCAAAGCCAGTGGACTTTGACAAGTCGTTTAACAAGTCTCTGTTAGCTAATCAGCTGGCTAGCCGGTTTGGTCAATGCTCTATTCACGCTCAGCTTTGCCGGTTGCATCTATGGCATTAAGAGAACATGCAGTATGAGAAGAATGTGGGCCCTTTGTGTCCTGGGAGCGGCATACAGTGCTATGAATTATACATATGTTCCGACTTGGATGGGATTGTGTGAGTTCAGAATGCTCCCTCCGAGTTAATCCGTCGCTCCCAACTCCCCGCCGGCACATAAGCGAACAGGCAAGAATTAGTTTGAGGCCAGTTTTGTTAAGTTAGCTGTTGTTTGTTTTTTGTACTCCTTCCCACCTACTCCTTTCTCCCTCTTGCATGAAAAGATGTTTGATTTGGGGTCCAGGCCGTTGGTTGATTTGACGTGACAGTTGGCTTGGTTGTGAATGGGCCGTAGAAGGCGCTTCCATGTGGAAAGGCCTGATGGGATCTGGATGAATGCTGCTGTGGGGGGAGTGGTCCAGGGGCAATCAAGCAGAAAGTGCCCCCAGTGACGAGATCCATGAGCGAGAGGAGAACAATCTCAGCCTTGAGGTTCTTTTTCCCGGACTCATGGTGAGGAGTAATTGGTCAATCAGATCTCCAACCTCAAGGCCTCTGATGGCTGATTGAAGGTGTGATTTCTTTTCTGGCCATCAAAGCTAGAGGGTCGCTCCTGCTGAGCGCCATCGCTGAAGAATTGTTCCCAAGGTCTCCAGGCTTTGGAGCTACAAGGCTATAGCACTGATCTCCAATTGCAATACGTTTCCCCCACATTGTGTTTGCCGTCTCACCATGGCTCTGCTAAAACATCACCCCAGAGTTTGGATATATCCAGCTTTACACGGTGCAAATTCGAAGCAGTCGTGCAGGGTCAAAGTGAAACTTGTGAAAGCTATGCTTGGCAACCTCACCTTGCAATGTCAATCTCTCTGAGCCCTGCTGGTGCCTTTGTGCTGCATTGCAGGTGCTGAGTGTGACATTTAGGAGAGGAACGAGGGCCTTGACAGGAAGTGACAGCCGGAGATGTCTCCTTCTTGGATGGCAAAGTAGTACCTGGTTCCCTCTGTATTGTGCAGAGCTGTTTTTAGACGTGTGAGTGCTGCATGGCTTTGATCCTTTACTGTAAATGGTAGAAGAATGATTGAGCCTCACTTGCAGGTGCATTTAGGTACGAGACAGGCAGTTTTTGTAAAGATACGTTGCCTCCTTTTGCTTCCTTTTTGTGTCAGTACCAATGTCGGAGTTAAATGGGAGTCTTGGACAGATTGCGTTTATACCCTAAGCAGTGCCCTGGGAGACGCATGTCATGGTGCAAATGCTTTGTGTGTGGCACAGTTATATCACTAGCACTTCCCACTGGGGAAGCAGAGACTCTTAGCTTCTGCCTCCCTGAAAATGGCACAGAGATGGGAGAGTTCCTAAAATCCACCTCAGGGCCTTTTTTGCTCCATCTCTTTTTCTGTGTCCCATGGCAGCGACTGAAATAGAAAGAGAGAGGGTGGAAAAGGCAGCGAGAGGAGGAGGAGGAGGAGGAGGGTGGGTTTGTCTGAGCTCTCATGCACTAGGCAAGCAGATTTAGACTCCAAGTGTCAAATAGAAAAACAGCCATTGTGGCCGGGTCCTACTTGCCCCCCCACCAGTAGACTTTACAGTCAATAGAGCTAGTCCACTTGTCACAGAGGGACAATGCGCCCCTTTGCCTCCCTTTCAACCCCTGCCGGGTCCGAGCAGCCAGACCGCTTTCTGAATAAGATCCAGTGATTCTTGCCCCCTTTTCTCTGCCTCTCTTTTCTCTCCGTGGAACACACCAACAGGGTTTTGGAAAAGGGCTTCGCTGTTGGCCCGGAGCAGAAAGCGCCAGATCCTGTTATTTTCTACAGCATTGGCATCCCCTCAACCCCCCCCCCCCCCCCCCCCCCCTACGACCCAAAAAGCTCACAGGGAAATGAATGTATCTTAAGCGGTTGCAAAAGTCAATGGGCCTCCCCACACAAAGGCGATTAAGTTTGGCAACTTAGCGGTAACAGGTGTACTTAGACTGCGTTCGGACCACACGGGGGGCGACCGCCTGAACCTCGGCTCTGTTTGGCCTCCCAAAGGTTTTTAAATAAAAATGTGGAGTGTGCTCTCAGGATGTTTCAGACCTTGCCGGTTGAGAAATGTAGCCAAGAATGTGTTTGGCCTAGCCGTCTACCCTCTCCTCGTTTTCCACTGCTTTAGAAAATCTAACTCGGTTTTGTTGCATCTCTCCGGTGATTTGCCGAGTTTCCTCCAAAGGGACTCTGCAGATATCTTTAGATCTGGCGCTGTGCTCACCCATGGGAGCGAGTTAAGGGTAAACAATGCGGGCACACAGAGGAAGAAAGAACTATCAGAGGGAGTGCGGCACCAAAGCGTGAATACATTTTCACATTTAGAGACAGTGATGTTTTAAGAGGGGAAACGTCTTTCAAAGGGAATGAGTGAAGCCTTTTCTGTCCACACCTTCAGTATTTCCAACCACAACAAATCAAGCCATTCAGCAGGAGTATAAACAGACACTCAGCGCCAGAGCAAAAACACTGCCGGGTTTGTTTGTTTCACTCGTTCATAAAGCTTTTACCCGGAGCCTCAGTCCTCAGAAAAAGCCCATTCTGGTGAAATGACTTGGCAAAGCATCCGATGAAGGGTCTGTTCAGACTGAAGCTGCTCCCGCTGCCATTGTCTCGCTCTCTCTCACACCTACGTGTCCAGAGTAAGCACACAATTTCATTGTTGCGTGAGCTGTTAATATCAGACGCTTCACAATAGAGCCCATTCGACATATTTGCATAAGGCACTTTTCCAACAAGGACCCGGAGAGGGCTTGAAAGCTGGCCCACTCCAGTGCCAATGGCAAAAAAATGTCAAGTGCCAATTAGGAGAGGTTTGCCACCATTCAGCAGTACCCCACCCCTGTAGTCCTTCCCCTCCCTGCGTACCCAGCACCAACTCTCTCACACTCCAAGTCACCCCTGTTTTTACCACCTTATTCCCATTTCAGACGTAGCCTTCCCGTACTGACACCCAGAGACAAAAGCTGGCTCCCTCCTCGGCCGGCTAATGGAGGATCCTTTCTGCCGGGCTCAGAGCATTAGAGAAATCAGACAGCGCTCTGTTCACCGATTAGTCAGCTTTCTTTGTTGATTTCTTTCAATGGAACGGTTCGTGAACTATGCGGCTAAACCTGGGAGATATGCTCTCCACCTGCTAGTGAATATTACATTTAGCAAGCTGGCTTAGGTTTTATTTGCAGGTTTGCTCGGGCCGGTGTGAGTGAAAGAGAGAAGAAGAAAAAGACAGCCGCAGATTTGAAGCAATTACAACATAAACCTTTTTCCTATTTCCACTGAGGTCAGTCTGCGTTGGTGCTAATAGCATTTAGCTAGCTAATGACTTGCTTTAAGCTAGTCCTGCTGATTATTTCTGCACTAATGCACAGAGGCTGCTATTATGAGAAAGGCTGCAGTCATTTGAATTGTGAGCAGCGGCTATGAATCAGCTGTTAAAGGAAAAGCACAATAACACAACAGTTTGATTAACCGGAGCTACGTCAGATTCATGTTAGCTTAACTGCAGAGTGTCAACAATGCTGCACAGATGTTGACAATCCTCGCCATGCTGACAAAAAGCTGCATTATTTCTAATTAAGCTAAACTGCAGCTGTCAGATGCAAAGTACGTGGTGACAGGAACGTCATTAGTGTCCTTGAATCGAAGTAGCTAGCGGTGTGTTTACATTCTGGAAGCTTCTGCTACAAACGGCAGACACGTCAAATAAATAAAAGGAACCTGGGATCCTGTAAAAATGACAAGGATGCATCAAATTACATTAAAAAAATGAAGCCGTAAACACAATAACAGACGTAATCGTGTTTGTCCGATTGGGCTACCGTTGTTTTCTACAGAGCATTTACCTAACTTACCGCCTCCTGCCACTCAAAAGGATTTCTCTCTTGTCCCCTTTTCGCTTTCATTCTTTCATTCAATCTCTGTGTCGAGTTTTTTTTTTTTTTTTCTTTCCCACCCTTGATTCTCAGATGGTTGGATCTGATTTGCATGCATTTGCATAATGAAAGTCATTTGCATGCTCAGGGGCAGACTGTACCATGAGAACAGACATGAAAAGGTGTGTGTGTGTGTGTGTGTGTGTGTGTGTGTGTGTGTGTGTGTGTGTGTGTGTGTGTGTGTGTGTGTGTGTGTGTGTGTGTGTGTGTGTGTGTGTGTGTGTGTGTGTGTGTGTGTGTGTGTGTGTGTGTGTGTGTGTGTGTGTGTGTGTGTGTGTGTGTGTGTGTGTGTGTGTGTGTGTGTGTTCATGCCTTGCATTCTAGTGCTCCCGTGAACTGTACATATGCGTTTCGATGGATAAACCACGTTTAAAGAATTCTCTTCTTGCCCTCTGCTTCTCCAGGTTTCCAGCACCTCACCACTGAAGGGACGCTGGCAAAAACAGAGAAGAAGAAGAATATGGAGGAGGAGGAGGGGTTGCTGTTGATTCTGCCCTCCCTCTCTCCTCACCCTCCTCTGCATCGCCTCCTCCCTTCCTCCCTTCCTCCTCCGCTCCATCCTCAGCCCCTTTTTCCCGTACAGCGAGACGCAGCCCTCGCCACCATCTTAGAGCAACGCTGGCATGAAATGGAAGTGGAAAGACCAGTGATCAGTGCAGGTAAACACACCGACCGACCAAACCCCCGACCCTCCCCTTCTTCCACCAGCCTCCCTTTTTATTTTAATCACCTCGGTTATGTTTGTTAATTGCACGATTCAGAGCGATGGGTGGAGGGTGGGGGGAGCGTGATTTGTATGTGTGTTCACATTAAATCACTCCGCTCTCAATGCCCCTTTCAGTGGGCATCTGTCCTCTGAAGCGCCGTGTTTCTCGTTGCCGTTTGGGAGTTCTCGTGCCACCCTCACACTCGTGCCCCAACATGGCGGCGACGGCTGCCATTTTGGAGACACGACGCATGCCGTGCCTTCTGGACGTTGCAGTGACACAATTCACGACTCCATGTAGTTGCGCTCGGCAGGATATCTTGCCCACAGACCACAGTTTGCTGCAACAGACAGTTCTCAGTTCTACATTTATTTAAAAAAAAAAACAGCTTTTCTTCAACTCCTTAAAAGGGGTCAGGAGAAATGTCAAGGTGGGCACATCTCTGGAGTGGAAAGGGATGATATCCATGAACAGCGACACTGCAGGATATAACAAAACCAACACAAAGCAGGAATATAGAAGAGATGGGGAAGGTCTCAGCACTGGAAAGCTTCTCTTTGTGCGAGTGTTTGAGGGCATTCGGTGCTCAGACAAGTCGAGTATTGTTCTCCCTGAGCGAGCTCGTTACAGCATTATTCCAACCGGGGAGCTCACAACTTTGAAAACCGCTTAAAACCAAAACACCAATTAGTATTGGCTGGGCTTGATTAGGTAAGGCAGCCGGTAAACAATGCACACCATTGTGCCCGCAAACACAGAGACCCCCCTTTGTTTGTGTCGACGGTGTGGAGGTCAGAGAGACAATGCTAACGCTAACTTACAGTCCATAAGGCTGGCAGAGAGACGGCTGTGGGGTCAAGGTGACAGACGAAAATGAAACTGTTGTTAGACAAAGGAAATCATGGAGGGTCCGAGGTGACTTTATAACAGAGAATCAGTTGGTGAAAGTTTGAGGTGTTTAGTTTCTCGGCTGATTTCCAATATTTGCAAACCTTAATCAATCAAAGTTTATTTAAATAGCCCAAGAGCACACATTTGACATTTGTGTGAATACGACACCCTCTGTCCTTAGACCCTCACATCGGACAAGGAAAATACCCAAAGAAACCTATAATGTTATAAAACTCGAAGAGAAACAGGACGGACTTACATATCGAAGTCGTGTGGAATTTAAAAAGATAATAATACATTTACAACATAGTCCAAATGCTGGAAAAAATCTTGAGTAGTGCTCGTTTTGAAATGAGGTCATGCCAAGCTTTCTGCATTTACAAAAGGAAAATACCCAAGGAAACCTATAATGTTATAAAACTCGAAGAGAGACAGGAGGGATCCAGGACGGACATACATATCAAAATAATGTATAAATTAAAAAGATAATGAATTAACAAGATGCTAGAAAAATCTTCAGTCGTGCTCGTTTTGAAATGATGTCATGCCAAGCTTCTTTTTTTTCTTTCGCCGCCGCCGCCGCCTTTAAAAGCGAAGGCGTTCCTCTCGATGGTAACTGTGTCAAACTCGAGGCGCACTAATCACGGCCGGCCTCCATAAAACAGGTGGTGGATTGAGCTGAAGGGGTCGGGGCCGTTCTCAATTTACTGTGTAAATTATGCAGAGCCCAAAACAATGCAAACAGTAGACAGTGGAGTGGCTGGCGTTGGCTAATGAGATGATGAGAAGGAGGTTTTTTTTGGGGGGGGGGGGGGGGGGGGGGGGTAGGCAGCTTGTGTCTGGATCAGGGGAGCAGACACTGTCCCGTCTGAGGGGAGGGGGGGGGCGGGCAGCTGGGCCCCCATTGCTCCACCATCCTTGGGAACCTCTGTGGAGAAGGGGCCCCCCAATAGTCTGTCTGCAAAACCCCCATCACCACCACCACCAAACAACAACACAACAAAAGGCTTTACTGTCGTACGCGTCGTGTCACATTATCATATAATCATTCAAAACATTTAGTCTTATACTCTGATTCAAGACTCAAAGGTTTTATAGTCATATGCACAAAGCTACAGCGTGGAAGTGGCAATGAAACTCTTCTGACCTGAGCTCCTCCAAAAGTCCAAAATAAAAAGTGGTCCAAAAAGTCTTTATACATGTAAATATGATATGATTGCCTTTGACACTGTTAAATTATATTTTTAGTCTGATGAAGTCGCTCTGTTCGTGCATTTGAGATCGATTCCACTTGTATATCAACTTTCTTTATTACTTTATTAAATGTAACAAAAGACAGACTTTGTCCCTGAATCATTGATCAGTTTCTCTGAAGAGGTTCCTCCACCGTACGCACAGCTTCAGTGTCGACATGCAATGGAAAGTCTCTCCAACAATGCTGCATAGATAAATACGTGACATTAATACAATGAATAAAACTATAAAAGCAAGTGCAAAGATCAGATTTACTTTATTGATCCCAATTTAGGGTTTGTTGTTGCCACAGCAGAATGTTAAAACAAAGGCATTGAAAATAAACAAACATCTCAAAACAAAAGAATAAAACAGAATTCAAAGTAAATGACATGACAGTGAACGTTAACATCTGTAGACTTTTCTGTCAAATAAGCAGAATGAACGGCCAGTTAACAGCTAACAACATTTAAAAGTAGGATATTATTTACATTAAGTGGCCAAGGAATATCAAATTCAATTAAATAGACAAAAGACAAAATTAAATAGTGGACGAGAATGTAGTCTTACGGCCTGCTCTAACAACTGGAAATGTTATGATATGTGTCTGATTTCTAGTCCGAACATGTCTCTACACCTGATATAAGACCTATAACTTAAGAAGTCACAATGCAGGGAGATATAGGGTCTTGCTTTTAGGTCAAAGACTCTTGGAAACATCTTATCTTGAGTTGTATCTCAGATGAAGATCGGTTAAGCTGCTGTGGTGTTTTTGTATAAGAAATAAATCTAACTTGATTTTAGAAAACACATTTTTATTGGAAAATCACCAACTAACATCAGAACACTTTTGAGGCTTTCTGGCTTGATCCTTGTAGTTTAAAATAAGTTTTCCCATCTGACTACAAGATCCTATTTCAAGAACTCTCCCCAGGCTAAATGTCACTTTATCTATCGGCCGATTTCTTCCCTTATTACAAGCGAACACCTTGTTTTTATTAGTCTTTCACTTGATTTTGGAGCAGCATTTGTTCCAGTGTGAGATATAGGGTCTTGTTTTTAAGTCAAAGACTCTTGGAAACATCTTATCTGGAGTTGTATCTCAGGTGAAGATTTGTTAAGCTGCTGTGGTATTTCTACACGAAGGATCATCTTGTTTCCAGAAATACATCTCACTTGACTTTAGAAAACACATCACCGACTAACATCAGAACACCTTTGAGCATTTCTGGCTTTTCCTGATCCTTGTATTTCAAAATCAGTTTTCCCAGCTGATTACAAGACATCATTTATCTAAATATCCCGTCTCACTTCAAGAACTCTCCCCAGGCTAAATGTCACTTTATCTATCGGCCGATTTCTTCACTTATTACAAGCGAACACACCTTGTTTTTATTAGCCTTTTACTTGATTTTGGAGCAGCATTTTTTCCAGTGTCGTGGTATAAAACTGTCCCATCTCCTCCTCCCTCTTTCCTCCCCCTCCACCCCCCCCCCCTCTCCCTCCCTAATGTGAGTTTGGGGGCCTGGGAAGGACTTCAAGTTCATGTCCAGACCTCCTATTGAGCTGACAGCTGACTGTTTGCTCAATTCGGGGTCTCTATTCAGAGAAAGGGCTGGAGGATGGGTGTTGCTAGATGGGAGCACTGTGATAGCTATTCATTCAACGGGGGTGTAGAGGGGGAGACAAGAGGGAGTTTGGGGGTGGTTTTAGTCGGGGTGCATAAATAAAAAAGTGAGGAATCCGGGGCTCAGAGTTTGCTTTGAGCGGTGTGCGCCTCTCTCACACTCTTTTAGACTCTTAATTACCGGCGCCTTCCACTTTGCTCACTCTCCTTTCTCTAACTACAACCTCCCCTCCTCCTCCTCCTCCTCACACACACACACACACACACACACACACACACACACACACACACACACACACACACACACACACACACACACACACACACACACACACACACACACACACACACACACACACACACACACACACACCAATCATCCCCTGGTTTTATTAGGCCACATGCTGGGGCTGTAAATTTAGCATTAACAAGCGTATTCACTGTAGTCCTCTCAACAAAACAACGCCGTGATGCCAGTAACTCAAAGCGACACCAATACCCGAAACTGCCTTTTTTTACACCACCGCCCTCCACTCCCTCTCCCTCTCTGAATAACAGCTAAAGTGCTAAATGCCAACTTTAACATAGTGCTTGCTAATAGCTCAGGCGATGCTAATTAGCACGATGCTTGTTGATTTTCTGGACCGCCTGCTTTACCGGTTCACCCTGCACTCGCTGACCCGCTGTAATATTTTAAGTTGCTTGTCTGAGCCGCTTGAAAACGCAACACACAAAAAAAAACAGAGAGGTTTGATTGGCTTCTGAAGTCCGAATCACATGCTTCCTCTTTGCATTAGCAGCTCGTAGCGTACCAGGCTCCCCGAGAGAAGAAGCTTTCAACTTCAGCCCCAATCCCCTCAGACGCTGCTTACAGATTTAGGAAACACGAGGAACACCCCCCCCCCATAACTTATTGTTCATGTTTTAAAAGAACAAACCTTTCCTTTGATGCAGTGCTGTAAAGTAACTAAGTACATTTACTCAAGTACTGTACTTCTACTCCACTACAGTTCAGAGGTACATGGTGTACTTTTCCTCCACTACATGTATGTAATCCCTTTAGTTACTTCACAGATCTGGATGAATGATGTGAAATATAATCAAGTGTTAAATCAGACTTTAGTTCCACCTGGAGTAAATCCACAAGCTACCCTGCAGTATACAAAGTCATTCAAACTAGCTGCACCTTTACCAGCTTTGAGAACACTTTCATGATCAATCATTATAAAACATATCATATATATTATTCTGAAATGGACCAATCTGCACAATGACTACTTTTACTGTCGCTACTTTAACTATATTTTGATGATAATACTTTTCTACTTTCACTTGAGGAACATTTTGAATGCAGGACTTTCACTGTAACAGAGTATTCCTACACTCTGGTACTTCTACTTTTACTCAAGTACAAGATCTGAGTACTTCTACTTTTACTCAAGTACAAGATCTGAGTACTTCTACTTTTACTCAAGTACAAGATCTGAGTACTTCTACTTTTACTCAAGTACAAGATCTGAGTACTTCTAATTTACTCAAGTACAAGTTCTGAGTACTTCTAATTTACTCAAGTACAAGTTCTGAGTACTTCTAATTTACTCAAGTCCAAGTTCTGAGTACTTCTCCCACCTCTTTCTCAAATAATAGTGTTGACGTTGATTTGGTGTGTTTGGTGGAAGCTGTTTCTTAAAGTCGTCGTTGTCTCTTTTCAGGAGGATGCTGCAGAGAACTCGATGAAGTGGAAAGCAGGACTCCTTCGTTCAGCGAGGACTAAACAAGGACAGACCTCTTCAATGCTTCTGTGCTTTCTCCGAGAAGGAACGCCTCTTTGTGTTTTCTCCAAAGCAAACATCCCGGCTAACTGTCAGAAACAAGGTTCAAGGTGAAGATGGACCGCGTGGATCAACCTGTCCGTACGAGAGACTTTCACTGAGCTGTGTACTTATTGTTCTTCCTTAGACGTGAAGCAGTGTAATGTGTCTTCCACTAACATAGGCTTGACTTACTGTAGGTCTCATTTGATGAGTTATAGCTCTAGTTGGACTCAAAGACCTACGGCAGCAGTGAAGAATACTGCACTGTGATTGGACGGCTCCATGTGTCTGCTGACACAATGGCGAAGGAGTGAGCTGTCGTCTTTATACTCTATGCAACTGTTCATTCTTTTCTTGGTCCCTTTCATCCTGGATTGTTATTTTGGGACACCAGTTTATTCCCTTGAAGAAAAAGCTGCCTTTCCTCCCCGGTGTTAATGTACTGCTGCTGAACATTACAGCCAGAGTGTGTGTGACGGATGATACAGCTCTCATATGTATTCAATCTCTTATTTGCAGCCTTAACAGACTTTGATTTGCAGCCGTGAGCCACAGTCTGAGTAAACGTGGACTCACGCGTTTAATATTCCTGGTGGCAGGAGAGTGTTTGATCAGCAGGAAGTAGCTGCGCAGCGCTCAGGATACTGAACACACCCCGGTATTAAACACAGTTTCAGTTACCTGCTTCCCTTTAATGACACATGGTTGGGAGAGACATTACAAATACATCGGCTTCAAACACTGCCTTCATTTCCTGTCCTTGACATTAACACACACACTCACACACTCACACACACACGCCCAAATGCAATAAAGCGAGTACTATCGCAGCCTAATTCATTCTATATTAATTTTCGAGAAGTGGCCAATTTTTTATTACGATTGATAATCTATGCAAATCTTTTAAATATTACTTTAAACAATCTATGTCTACGCAGGGCTTTTTGCAATTGATTCAAGGGAGACTATCTCGGCCTAATTTAGAAAATGTATTCTTTTGATAATCATGCACATCCCAGTGCTCAAGACAATTACTTATCTGCCTGGATAAGCTTGAAATTATGTTTTTAATCTTCAGCAAAAAGAAAAAAAAAGTCTCTCTTCTGATATTAGGCAGAATAGTGGAGATGAAATCCGTTGCACTTAATCTCTTTTTTCCTTAAATGCAGATCAGACGTATCTATTCAGCTGTGCTACTTCATAGCTTAGTGTTATATGAATATAATATATATATATATATATATAAAAGCAGCAATGTTTGTGTTATGCAATCTATTTGGTGTGAATGAGTGTTCACCACATGTGCCTTTGTATGCAAAAAACTGGTTGGAATATGAATAAAGGTTTACATTGAAAACAATTGAAAAAGTGTCTCTTGTGTATTGTTTTGTCAAATGATTCTGCATGTGATTCATCGAGAGGTTGAACATCCCTCTGTATGGTCGCTATTCTGTCAGTTCATAGTGGTGTAGTCAAATAAATGCTATCAGTGGAGAGAGGACGCAGATCTCAAGTCACTCCAAAGCTGGCAGCGTTTCCTTAAATGTGAGTGAGTCACGCCTTCAGAGAAATCAACAGAAAACTCAGGTCCAACACGATGTTACAGCCAAATCAAAAAGATGATCACCCCCCCCCCCCTGAGATCAAACAACTCCATCAGGGATGTGGGTTTATTTTTCCGGAGTGTTTGGCATCAACAGATGAAGAGAGTGGCGCTGAGACGCTCCGTGTAGTGAAACAAAAAACCCCTCTGACCTCTTTGTTGTCGTGCAGATGAGAAATAAGCCAGCACGCATGAACACACATGCCTTTAACCTGCTGTTACTAAAACAAAGAGCACAGTGTGTGTCTGTGTGTGTGTGTGTGTGTGTGTGTGTCTTCCCCTGCATGATTTTGTGCCCAACATCACATATGGCAAACGTGCCAACGCCGACATATGGGCCCCTCACAATTCATTAGCATTGTCATGTAAAGGAGGGTAATCCCACTGTAAAACAAATGAAATGAAACCCTTCCCAGTACAGGTTGATCACGCTGCTCCTCTCACCCATTCCCCCTCTGTTAGGAAGTCTAGTGTGACTCAATGAAAGAGGGTTTTAACGCTGCGTTGTAAGAAGCGTTTGCACCTGTCGACCACCGTATGTTGGAGAGATTGTCATACAGTACGTGTAGGAACTGGTCCCCAATACAACATTATGAGGTGAATGGTTAAGTGTTAAAACTATAAGGACAACACATATTGCAATTAGTGCTCATGTAACAGATGTAAATATGCAGTGGGTTTTATTTAATTTAATTTGGTATAATCACACAAATTCTGTGTTTTATATGATTGTATTCTGTGTTCTTCATTTTATTGAATGTTCAATACCTGGCAAGGACGGAGATCAGTGGGCGGGACCTCTGAAGTGTGGTCGCTGTGCTCAGGAGTTTATTGAGGACTTTCCCCCCTATATATTGTGTCCCTCACGTTTCCTCTTCCCTTTTGTAAACGTTCCACGTGAGAGGAGTCACTGAGAGGGAAACTGATCGTTTTATCTGTTATCAGTCATTAAACAGAGATGGTCTCAACTTTACGCTGGCTCGGGTCTCGTCCATTAACAACACAACGCAGAGACCGCTTAACCACACCGGTTACACTCACATCTGTAAACATAAAGGCACAAGGCTTTTTATTTTGGTGTTTCTTTTTGTTCTGTGTTTTTCAGAATGCCTCGTCTTGTGTGTGTGTTATTGACAGGTTTGGGAAATAACAGATTACATGTACCGAGATTGAGTAATCAGGATACAAAAAAAAAGTAATACATAAAAACGGATGCAATCAGATTACTGGTACATGCTTTAAAAATCTGGGACATATGGGCCCCTCACAATTCATTAGCATTGTCGTGTAAAAGAGGGTACAGTACAGGTTGATCACGCTGCTCCTCTCACTCATGTGGAGGTCTGGTGTGATTCAATGAAAGAGGGTTTTACCCCCCTGGGATTCTGCGTCCTCGGTGCGTGGCAGCACGGTCTTTACAAGCCGCTCTCCTCTTGTTTACAGCTGTAAGAAATGATCCGTAGTGCACGTAAACAGCAGCTCCATGCAAATATCACAGTGCCCTTATTATCCAGAGCAGGCTGCAATTACATTATGTCCCCGGCGTTAACATCCAGAGAGCGACTCCCCTCGCCTTCAGTGTTTCTTCTTGGCGGTGTTACGGCCCTCATAATCTGATTCACAGTTTTTGTCATGCTGCCAAGAGGCAAGCTGCGTTAGCCAAGCACTACAGGCCTTAATGAACTGAGTGTCAATGTTAAGAACACGAGAGCGTGTTGGAGTGACGGAGGACAAGCAGGCTGTCATCTGCAGCCATGTTGGATCAGGGTCTAAGTTATAGCTGCTCAAAGGTTGTCGGGTCGCTGAGAGTGTGGTTGTGTGTGTGCATGTGTATCATCTGTGTGTGTGCATGTGTATCCTCTGTGTGTGTGCATGTGTATCCTCTGTGTGTGTGCATGTGTATCCTCTGTGTGTGTAATGTGTGTGAACACAACATGGAGAAAGAAATGTCCCTGTGAGGGATTAATAAAGTATGTCTTCTTCTTCTTCTTCTTAAGCTTCTTGATGCTTGATGTGTGTCGACGTCCTAAAAAAGGGACAGAAAGTGGAAGGTGGGGGTGTGGCTTCTGTTCGACATAAAGCACAAAATGGCTGTTTGCTACATCCCACCCCGAGGGGATCAGCTTCCAAGATGGCGCCGGTGACTTAAACGTCGCCCGGATGACGTCAGATCCTTAAAAAACAGAAGGGCCGCACCACCAGCCACAACGATTTGGTGGACAAGTGCACAAGAGGGGGTCCAAAGTGAGAATTGGCGGGTTTTGGTGCACGTCCAAGGTCGAGGGACTGCTCCTTTTCACAAGTTCCTCAGAACCATCATTCGTATTCAGGAATGTGCCCCTACTAGGCCATTCTGTGGGGTTTTGGAGGGAAACGCCAGGACAGAGGGGTGTGTGTGTGTGTGTGTGTGTGTGTGTGTGTGTGTGTGTGTGTGTGTGTGTGTGTGTGTGTGTGGTGTGTGTGTGTGTGTGTGTGTGTGTGTGTGTGTGTGTGTGTGTGTGTGTGTGTGTGTGTGTGTGTGTGTCTTTGGACCCTAACGTGGTCAGTTGCCAAGAAAAAAAATGGGCGTTTGTCCAAATCTGTCCACCTTTGTGAGCCGCCTCCCGGTGCTGGTGCTGCCCGGCAACTCTGCTCTCAGAGCGGAGACAAAATGGCCTCAGAAGCTTTGAATGGTACTGTACAAGAACTATAGAAGATGCATAAAGAGGTGTGTGTGGGGGTGAAGATTATGAAGATTTACAGATCCTTGCAGAGACGGCATTGATGGAGTACATTTTAGCCCCTTGTACGCAGAGTAAGCATGGCTGACCTCTTGATGTCTTGTAAGTTTCTCAATTTATATATTTCAGAAGTGTAACATTTTTAGCATGGTTTTATAAATGGACTTTTTTTTCATTTTGACGGCGGCCGACAGGTGCAAACATGTTTTAGAGAGTATCCTGACTGGCAGCATGACGGCCTGGTACGGCAGCTGCACCGACCTCGATCGTAAGGCTTTACAGAGGGTGGTGAAAACTGCACAGCACATCACCAGGACGGAGCTGCCATCCATGGAGGACCTTTACTCCCAGCGGCTCAGGAAGAAATCACTACGGATTATCAAAGACCCCCATCACCCCAGCCACAAACTGTTCTTTCTGTTGCCGTCTGGCAGACGTTACCGCAGCATCCGGGCAAGGACAAGAAGATTCGGAGACAGTTTCTTCCCGCGGGCAGTGAGACTGTTAAAAAATTGAACTGCTGAAACAACTTCAAACATTCATCTGCTACTCAGTAGTATGTATCTAATATATATATATCATTCTAATAACTTGTATATAGACTCGTACTGCACTATTCCACATACTCACTTTATTTTATAACTATTTTTCTTTTTGTATTACTTTTACTATCTGTATTGTTATTATGTTGCATTGTTGGAGAAGCCTGTGACATAAGATTTTCAACGACATAATTACTCTGTAGCTATGTTAGTTTGACAATAAAGAACCTTGACCCTTGAACCTTGAACCTTGAAACGGCCCTAAACTCTTCCATCAGGAGAAACGCACTGCAGCTTCGGAAACGATGCAGATATAAAAACACAAAGGTACCAAAACTCATGAAGAAACATCTTCAGCGACTTGAGGAGACATGCGCAGCGTTTACTAAAAGCTGCAGAAACGATAGCTCAAAATACTTTGGTTTTTATATTTTCTTTGTTTCTGAAACTGCTGCGTGTTTCTCCGGATGGAAATGTTTTGCACCTGTTGACCACCGCACGTCTTGCCATTGGAGAGATTATCATGCGTGATTAGAGGAGCTCTCAATGAGTTTGTTAGAGACTGGTCCCCAATACAATTAATACGTTATGAGATTAATTGTTAGAACAATAAAGGCAACAAATATAACCGGATTGGTACTCACATTTGTAAACACAAAAGGCACAATACTGTGACTAATCCTGGGGCCTATACTACGAAGCCGGATTTTCGCTTAGCCGGCTGACTTCAGGGAAAGCTCTGGGTTTCCGGTCCTACGACGCTGGTTCTCTTTTTAGCAGGCTAGATCTCCATGGTAACTTATGCTGAGCGGCAAACCTGCTCCGGAGCAGGTTAGGTGGCAGGCTAAGAGATCAACTCAGTGAAAGCACTGCCTGCTGACCAATCAGAGCTCCGTGTGCGGAGTTTAAAGCTATCAAGTCATATTACAGGATAGAGGAAATACAGAAAAACTGCCGTTGCAGGAAAGACAGCCGGCCAAAATCAACTGACTGTGTGAACGTGAAAATGTATAGAATATCCCCATCTCCCATCTTCAGAGCAATCTGACTATTATAACATTAGCGTTAAGAAAGCTTACTTAAATATCTGCCACGACATAAGTAACCGGATCAGAGTAACATTAAGTACAGTCCACGGCACTGTGAGTGCAGACGTCGATGTGTCCCATTATCATTCATATCATATCACATCATAATGTATCATATATTTCCTTATCTGAGTCAGCTGAGCCGTATCTGGCCGTGCAACACTCACAGTGTCACATACTGTATGCAGAAGTATTATTTTAAGCAACACATTAAGTTGACGAAACACTCGAGTCAAATGTAATTAAAGTCAGATCCACTCGTGTCTTGGACGGGGCAGTGATTTCATAAACCTGTTAATGTACGTATTCAAACGCTTTTTCTTTTACCAGCTGTATTCAACTTGCAGGTGCAGCTATGTGGCTTTGATCCTGGATAAAGTGTTTAAGTCATGGATGTTTAATGTTTA